TAGGCATTTGCAAGCCACCCATTAATTTAATGTGTCTTGCACCGGAGCACCAGCCTGTTTTTCAAAATTCTCCATCTGTCTAATTCCAACACTTACCTCCTTGCCTTTCTAGAAAAACACTGCATTTTCCCTGTGGGCAAATCTCACACCCTCTAAACTTTGCTTGCCTGATCTCGGTAGAGTGGACACTGGGAATCCCCTGGCCAAGGCAACCGAACAGATGCCAATTTTTTTTAAGACCACGACAACCCCAACTTGTGGTTAGACCCAGATTGTGTGTTGGGGAAAGACCCTTCCCCACTGCTGTGCGCTGCCTCTGTGGGACTGAGAATCAAGGCACCCTCCTAGCCTACAAGCAAAACCTGCATATGCCCCTTCAGCAGCCCAGGTATGTTTTTTGAGAGGGATTGAGCCTGAACAGGGCCTGGCTCCAGTGCAAGGTATGGAGCTGGCTCTGCCCTCAACAGTCACGCCGGACCCTGGAGTCGGTTTGGCTACTTGGAAAGGCTCAGCCGCCCTGCCCTTGGCCACCCTTGCGCTGGGTTCTGCAAGGTTCCAGTTCTGCAAACGAATAATTTTCCACTATTTTTTTTCCAAGTGAAATTTCTTTGACATCCATGAAAATCTAGGAGATTCACAATGAGAATTCTCTTCCAATGAACATTTTCTTAAAGATTAGAAAGCAAAGGCTTCACCTGAAGAGTGAATGCAACGTTTAAACTGGAAAGCAGATCAAACTTTGTGCCTCTATAAACTTTGGTGGGTATAACGATATGACACAAGTGCATGACCTCCCAAAGTCAGGGACCCCAGAATGCACTTTCTACCCACCTGGTAGAGAAATTCTGTTGTTCACTAGGATTCTCTATACTTGAGTCACTATCCCTGTAGAAAAGATGAACTATGTTCCTTTTCACTCTCTAACCTCCATGTAGAATCCCATGCCCTTTCGCTCCCCCGCACTTCTGGTACTCAAAGAGGTGAAAATAGTTTACTTTCAGATCTCATGTCCAGCTATGCTGCTCTGGGGCGTGCAGGGAGGTGGAAGAGATGAACAGGAATTGCTGAGATGCTCCATCTCACCGGCTAGCTCTCTCTGCAGTGAATTCTGTCATCCTCGATGTCCAGCCCTGCAACCAGGACAGGCTATTGCCTGCGAGAAACACATCCTCGGCAATCAGGGTGATATGCAGCCGAGAATTGTCCGGGCCAGGAGAGTCCAGGTTTCTCAATAAATATGCAATGACTCTGCAACCAAGCAAGAGCAGCCCAGCCCAGGCCCAGCAGTCAGAGGGTTCACAATAGCCCCCCATCACTCCACTGGGAAGAGTTCTTCACTGCACAGGGATTCAAGTGGCAACAATTTTACAAAGCAATGCTATTCATCTGCTGCTTTTCAAAAACTCGAATTCCACTAATGATTTTATTTTGGGTTTGTAACATGACTATCTTCCTAAACGGTGGCTCACCAAATTAGCCTTGCCTGGCTAATTTCTACCCACCTTTGGGACTTAGTAAACGCCTCCTTCTTTAAAAATCAGAGTGCTCGAAGGAGGCTGTGCTCTCTGCTCTACCTCTGCATTTTACTCTTAGAAAGCAGAGATTATGTTTTGTTCTTGTTACTACTGTAGTTATTATTTATCATTATTATCCTGGAATAGTATCTGACCTCAAAGAAAGTATTTAGAACTGCATTACATGAGCAAAGGTCTCTCACAGGACCTCCTATCCCATAGTTTTTCCTCTTTAAAGTCATTTATTACAACAAATTAATATTTATTTTAGAAAATAAGAACTGGAAACACTTTCAGCAGTTTCAGTGAAGCAGCTATGGCCTTCCTGTCGCCACTACTTACATTGGTAACAGGCTACTTTAAAACTGAAGGTGCATTTACTGAGTCTATTCTACGAGACATGCTCCTGGGTATGGAGTCCTGAATGTCCAATACAACATAATACCTGTCCTCGAAAAACTTCCATTCTACTGGAGAGACTATCAGACAAATTGCAATGATTTCAATGAAACTCCACAAATTCTGGGCTCAAGTGATGCTCAAGGTGCTAAAAAAAACTCTTAGAAGCAACACCCTCAATTGTATTAATGAAGGGTGATGCCAACTAAGCAGAAAAACAGTTTACTGAAATGATGCTGGATGAGTCACCGAGTCACAGGGAAGTCAGGGAACCGGAGGCTGTCAAGTCAGAGTCTAAAGAAGGTGACAGAACAAAGCTACTTGGGGCCCTGCTGCTGCTCCCCCAGAAGGCCAAGATGGAGAGGTAGCGTGGCAGCTGACTCACGCTGGAGTCCACACCAGAAACCAAGGTGACTGCCGCTGCAGCCAACACACTGATCTGTCCTTGGCTGCTGCTTATCCGTGTCCCTAGCACGTGATTCCTGCCCGTTGGGCAGCACTGATTAGCTGAGGCCGGCTTGGAGCTTCCAGAGGGACGGGACTAGGACTCTCAATCCTTTGAGCTCTACGGGGATCTGCAGGCTGGTTCTCTCATGGCAACGCGTGCAGCTGGTCATTCTCCATGAGCTAGTCACAGAGGATGGCTTCAAAATGGGGTGTGTCAAAGAAGACAGACACACAGCACAACCCTAGAGAGGGCCATGCACAAAGACTGGTAGGAACAGCTATTTTCCGAGGTGTTATGGTTTGAAAAAAACAAATTGCAGGTTAACAGCAGTCCCGGGCCCAAGCAAAGCATCATCAAAGGCGCAGATATCCTAACTGCTTGGAGGCTGAATGTGGTGGGGCAGGGGTGTGGGCTTCAACTGGGATCACAGGAGACAGGAGCAGCGGGAGGGATATTGGAGACTGGAGCAGACCCACATCAGGTCAGGCAGGACCTCACCGTCCAGACCAGGCCTCTTCCACCCGGCCCCCTGGGGGAAGGAAGCCTGGAGCTATTTACCATTGGTGAGGTCTTGAGAAGCAGTCCTCACAGGTGATACCCTCATTTTTATAATCCTTAAGCCAACTTTGGTTCACAGATCTGGAACTTATTCATGGAACTGGCGATCATAGTGTTTACTCTGACCCTCAGTTAGAAAAAAAGTCTTTTTCTCTAATTTAGACAATGTAGGTTATTAGGTTGCCCTGAATTTTAAAGCAAGCAGGAGTGAATATTCTCTCATCTTCTGTGCTATTAAGCAATAAATTGCTTTTGTTGACATTGCCTGTGCATCCATTCACATAAACAGGGCAATTTATGCAAATATAACAATTTTACAAAAATCTCATCATCTGAGAAAATCACGTTACAGCCCTCTCAAAGTTCAACAGGGAGCCGCACCCCCGTGTCTTCAAATCTGCCTGGAGCACCCAGGTTTTCCTTGACAGCAGAGAGAGACTGCACAGGGGACAGAGCATGTGGCCTCCGGGGTGGGGTGGGGTGGGGAGAGGCTTCTTTCCTCTGACGCCACTGCCAAGGGCTCCCTTTGCTAGGTGACCAGGATGGTCACCATGGAGGGCGGTAGAGGATTACAGGGGCTTTGGTGATGGAGGTGGTTGAGAACAGTTGAAGAAACGTGAACTTATATTCTGAAAACATGTATAGTGCTATAAATTAACTGTTATATCAAGACACATAATCTAATCAATAAAAACACAGCAGCAAGGATTATTATAGTAGTGAATGAGATAGACCTGATGGCCTCCTAGAGCCTTGGGGACAAGACAGAAAGCCACAATTGTACTAACGCGTGTGAAGTGCAAGAAAGGACACTTTGCAGCACCAGCCCAAGTCACTAGAACCCAGCATGCTTTGTGCATGTGAGTGAGTGCGTGAGTGTGTGTGCCTGTATGAAATCTGTCATTGATTAGGAGCGAGCTAGCCACAGTTGTTATAAAGGAACAGTCTAAGAATGACCCAGATTGCCAGCAAATTTTGAAATTGGAGCTAGTGATGAGGTACTGAATTAAAATGAGTGATTTATAAGCAACCATGGCTCCTTCTCTCGGAAGCCTTGTGCAGATGCACCAACTACACATTGATGCACTGCATGTCGAATGCCAAACCCTCAACGCCACGTCGTTAGCATTTATGACATTTTCCTCATGAAATGCACCTGTGCTACTACTGTCACGCCTGCCTGCTTGTCCTCAGAGTTAGTTAAAGATACTGATCAGTAACAGTTTGCAATAGATGAAGTTCTTGCACAAGGAGTCTGAGGGCCTGACTTCAGCATGACGAAATCTACAGCACCAGCCAAGCATGAACTTTACAATCTATGTTGATTTTAGCTCATAATTCTATATGGAACCCTGAATATGGATTGTCAATATCCCTATCTTCAAAGATTTTGTCTCATTTTTTTTTTTCAAAATGAAAATGGAAGCCAGCTGGCCAAACATTTAAACCCATTACTTTCGATTTGAGTTAAATAAACAAACAAAAGAATCTTCTCCATGTGCTGCTGAGTAGAACTCTCGTTCTGCTGCTGAATAGAACTCTCGTTCTCAAAATAATCGAAAGTTTCAAAGACTATGTTTCTAAATCTACTCTACTGCCTGGATTATTTATTTATTTTGTTTGGGCCAATTCGTTTGAGCCATCACCGTGATTCCTCTCCAGGCAAGCATCGACGTGATTGGGGTCTCGTAATTCTAACCAACTCTCCCAATCTGGAGAAGAGCAGAGAGGAGAGACACACATGGAGAGGCACATTCACCCACACTTGTTTGGATTCCCACATACGGACTGAAGTCCACACTATTAGCCATCATGCAGAAGAAAGATAGACTTGGGTACATTTCTTCTCCTCTTCACCCAAAGACATTTTAAGGGCCTGGAGTTTCACACTTTTGAAAACATTCTCTTTCAAAAACAAGCATCACAGATGAAGACTTTACAGATTCACGTCACAGGCAACAGGGCACGCGGGAGGGGAGGTGGGGGGGAAGCTACAGGGTTGTTTCATAAGGCCTGAAAAGAACCATATAAGTTACAAACATATGAAGAGGGTCACCTTGATCATCGCAATCTCTTCCTACCTGCCTCTTTGGAAATCTGAGTGAAGGATTCCACACCTTTCTCTCCGTAACTTCCTTCGGACGCGAGCGTAGACACGTAATTCCAGCCCAGGGCCTTCACAATGTCTACCATGGCCTGGGCTTGGAAGGAGTCGGGAGGAACCACGCGAGAGAAGAAGTCGTAGCGCCGGTCGTCACTCAGCTCGGGGGCCGTGGATGCATAACTAATCTGGGGGATCTGAAAGACAAGAGAGCACCGTGTTGGATCACAGCGTCAGGATGGAGACTCACCGATGCTTGAGGCACTTAGTTGTCGCTTGAGATGCAGAGCCTGGGCTCTAGCGGGGATACATGCTCCGCTGAACAGCAGCGCGTGACTGTAGGCCACACAGATGGGACCAGCCACTTGCCGTCAGCACTAGAGCATCTACCTCTTTACCTTGGCCTCTGATTGGCTCCTCCTGGGCACAGGGAAGGAGACAGCATGGGAATTACATGAGCCCTGTTGGTTAGGAGAAAAGAATTCATAACCATTTTGGCCAAAATTCTGTACCTGCTTTACTTCTTATAAACTAAGAGAAACAAGCCAGCAAGCAGCGAAGAGCAGTCTGAGCAGAGCATGGTCGAGGTCGGTCGAGCTGACACGTACTGGTGGGCATCGCTGGTCACTGACATTGCGCACTGGTGCCCCGAGCCAACAGCGGAGCCAGCTGCCTACATTATTTCATGTATTCTTTACAAGAAAGCTATGGCGTAGCTCAGTAACCCCTTTACACACAACCTCCCTTTACAACCTCCCTGACTGGGGTTGAATTCGTGCTGCCCTGGCTGCGGATAGCTTCATAGTGTTTCATCTTAACCCCTTGTGCCACCAGGGAGGCCCCCTCAGTCGATATTTTCTTTACTTAAAATATATATCCTCCAAACTGAACGTGGGAAACTCATTCTTTCTCACAGGAACTTTGGGCAGGGTGGGGGACAGAGTGCCTACCCCCAGCCCTCACAGTGCAGAACTGCTCTGAGGCTGAGGCCAGCCTTCGCTACCGTGGTCCCTGCACTTCACATGGGCTTCCTGAACATGTTCTAGGTTCTCCTGTGGGTGCCGGGAGATGGGCTGCAGTCATCTGGGGGAGCCTCATGGGCCTCTGGCTCCCCTTTCTGACCTCTGGCAAACTCTCTGACCCTGTCTCCATGTGACTAACCAGCTCTCCGAGCAGCTCTGGAGCTCGCGTGGTGGGGACTGGCTCAAGCAGCACATCCCAACCAGCCGACCACGCACTCGGGCCGGTGTGGTGTTTATTTCTCAGGATCATGTCGGATCAGACTACTTGAACAGTCCTGATGTGCTGATTTTAGCTAAATCAAATTACACGCACATAAAGAAGGCCCCCCAAAAAGTTCACCTGCCCTAGGGGAAGTCCTGAAATAGTCACAGTGGAGGGTCCTGGCTTAGGTCTAGCTTCAGAAGCACCCCGCGAGCTACCTCCACATGCACTGGGCCCCAGTTCTTTCTCTCAAGACCAGCAGCAGCAGGATATGACTGGTGCAGTGAATGAATCTACCTGCAAGAATGATCAACGCCTGCAAATTTCTGCTTGCAACCTCCCAAGGCGTCGCCCTGCTTTAACAAGGATCTAAAAGGCAGTCTTTATCTTTGTACAGACCAAGCCCAACTGCTCAATGCTTGGTTTCAACAGTGGACAAACTACACTTAAGTTGATTGTTTGGACTTATTTCTCTCAATATGAACCCATCACCCCGCTTCCAGCAGTTTGTCTAAGCACACCCATGCCTCACTGTTCTAAGCTGGCTACAATGCTACAAAGCTCATTTCTCCACCACCCTTTCTAGCTCAGCTTTACAGTCAGGTCACGTGGTCCTGAAGACCAGCGGCCCCGCCATCTGCCAACAACCATCCCCAATGCAGTTCTGCACTGTGAGGGCTGGGGGTAGGCACTCTGTCCCCCACCCTGCCCAAAGTTCCTGTGAGAAAGAATGCGTTTCCCACGTTCAGTTTGGAGGATATATATTTTAAGTAAAGAAAATATCGACTGAGGGGGCCTCCCTGTGGCACAAGGGGTTAAGATGCAACATTATGAAGCTATCTGCAGCCAGGGCAGCACGAATTCAACCCCAGTCAGGGAGGTGACCCTCACGGCGCAGCAGCCCTCTCCTGTCTCCCACTGCTCCCCTCAGCAATGGATTTCAGTAGATTTCAGTAGATCTGCCTGTTCTGCTCCCCACTCTGTCTCTTACCCCCCTCCTCACAACTGCAACTCTGGCCTACACCCCAGCTCTTGTATGCATAAATAAATCTTTTTTAAAAAGAAAGAAAATATCAACTGAATAAAGACTTTGGACAGGAAAAAGGAAAGGGGAGGTAGAGAAATGGGTGGGGAGAGAGAGGTTCTTACCAGAAATAAAAAGCAAAGAAGCCAGGCACACCAGTGCACTTCCATCAGTTCCAACTTGTGGAAATACAAAAGCTTTGTTCTGTTACATAGACGCCTTCCCTGCCAAAGTCTCTTTCTACCTTTGACGAAGTACAAATAAAGATACACCCGACAGTCCACTTGAATTTATGTACCTGATATCAGATATCAGAGCTGTGACATGTGCTCAGTGCAAATGTTTTCTAAACATCTGATGCCCCAAATTTCAGTAATGACAATCGTGGTAAAACATTTCTGTACTCACTACCAGGACACCTTGGAAAACAGTTGCTCTCCGAGGCTGATCCTTTCCATTATTAATAAGAAATATCTGGTGGCTTAAGACACACATGCCCCGTTAGGATCACATAATGATCCTATCCTATGCCCACTACATCGTCATACAGGGAACACGCACTGGATGATGATGCTGAAAATCTGCCTGGAAGGCCAAGAGGATGTCGTTGCATGAGATGAAGATACAGTTGGAGAAGAACATCCTTCCCAACCAGAAGAGATGGAAGATTGGAAGAATTTATCTAAGCTCCCAAATAGGATGCTGGGGGCTTATTGAGATATTATTCTTCATATTTACTTGTTTACAAGCAAATGTTGAAGACTACATCGTAATTACGTTGAAGTGTTCCTGGTGACTGGTACTATCGATGCAAAGGGCCAGGTTATCCTTAGTGATCTTCAGTGATTAACTGCCACACGTTCCTTGATATCTAACTATACGTTCTCTTTGTGCTACTGAAATCCTTCCCTGCAGCCAGTGTTTCCCGGAAATGCAGAACTGGTCCTCTGATAAAGAAAATTGTCTGCAGTATCACCCCATCTCCAAATACAAGAGATATTCCATCTCTCAGTCTTCCTTCCTCCAATTTAAAAATCCAAACGCTTTTCATCTCTGTGTGAAGATTAAAATTGCTTCTTATTGTATCGGGTTCCTCTTTTCATGAAAGATTTTTTTGAGTAAGTATCAAATAGGATTAAAAGCATCTATAACCTACTATATTTGTTTAGAATGAGTGTGTGCTTTTAGAAAATTAACAAGATGTATCATCTGTGAAATGGAGATAAACTAAAACAAGAAATTAACGTCCATGTCTGACGCTATTCGCATTTTGTTCTGAGTACAGGCGGGTCCACGCACCTGTTATTAGTGACTGGACTGGGGTCTCTCTTCTTTCCTCGCCAGCTCTGCCCAGGTCACCTTTCTTCCTCAGCTCTTTCTGGTTGCATACCAGCCTGTTAAATAGATCTAACCTAGACTTACCCTTCAATGTGTCATAGTTAATTTTTTTCAAGTCTTCACTACCATCAGAAATAAAAATGCATTGAAATCCTGAGCTAATTCAAGCCTCTCTTATCTCCTGGAGTCATGTCTCAGAACCCTGTTCAAGGCCCTCCCTCTGCTAGTAAAAGATGATTTGAGGTTACATTTAAATGTTCATAGGGACATTTCTTTGAGCTGTTATATAGAAGTAGAACAACAATATTTTTTTCTCCCAAATGTCTCACCGCTTGCTCCAGAACATCACTCTTCACTGATTTAAAAAAAAAAAAAGGCCAATTCTTTTCATCAATTCTTAAATACCTCCGTTTCTCTGGGGTATATTCTTTCCTGTTCCACTTTTCTGAGTGTTTGTCCAGTGTTTTACTGTCCCAATTCTTATCAACGTAGAGTGATTTAAGGCTATATTAGCTGAAACATATTCCTCTTTATGACCACTTTTTAAGAAATGACTGTGGGGAATCATACATAGTCAATTTTCTAGCTGAACTTCAGCATATTTTTTTTTCAAATTCATAGTAAAACTCCATTAAAATTTTGATGAGAATTATATTACATTTACAAATTAACTTGGGGAGAATTGATCCATTTACAATAATTGGTATTCCCCTCTGGAAAAATATCTATTTTCATCCATTCCATTATTCATTCTTTTCTCGTAGTAACTTTCCTCCACTCCGACCTTACATATTGTTGGTTGGTTTTATTTCTAGGTAGTTGTTATTTTCATGGCATTGTGAATGACATAAAATTTTCATTTTGTTTTCTATTTAATGCTGGATATAGGTGTTATTAAAGTTTGTGCATTTACTTGTGACTTAAGTGCTTGTTAAAATTCTTATTAGTTCAACGGCATTCAACTTATTTTCTTGGGATTTCCAGGTAAGCAAATCAGATTATAAGAATTCATTTAGTTTTCTAACTACATCAGCTAGAATTTCTAGGAAAACAAGAAAGACAGTGGTGAGACTGCTTTCCTTTTCCTACGTCTGGACAGCAAGCACTTGCAATCAGTTATTTGTTCAAATTATTTATTTTGAGACATGTCTAATGAAGAATTAGGATTATCTGTTAAAATTTTATTTAAACTCATAGGACCATAAATGTCTTCAAATAGCTGAAGATGTTTCCCCTCCAGGAAGTATCCTCCATGCAGACGGTCAACAGGCACATGAAAAATGCCCACCCTGATCTAGGACCAGGGAGATGGAAATCAAAACTGCAATGAGGTTCTGCCTCATAACTGTGAGAAAAGGCCCAGCTTGAAAAGATCAGAAACAAGTGTTGGCGAGGGTGTGGAGAAAAGGGAAACCTCACACAATGTCGATGGGGATGAAGAGTGTCCAACTCCAACGCAAAACATGATGGTGCAGATGTTAAAAACAGATATATCATATGGCTCAGTCATTCTACTCCTCAGAATAAAAAAAAATACATATTAAAAAAAAAACACCAAAAAAAATGTGCTTCAAAGGGATCTATGTACTTCTATGTTCATGGCAGCACTGTTTACATAGTCAAGTGTGGAGACAACCTAAGTGCCCAGGACAGATGGGCGGACAAGAGAGATGTGATACACATACATGTGGAATAGTATGCAGCTATAAAAAATGATATGAACCTCTGCCACTTGTAAGAACAGGGATGGAAACAGAGGGGATTACACAAAGTGAAATAAGTTACAAAGAGAAAAATAAATATTGGATGGTTTCACTCATACGTGGAATATGAAGGAACAGAACACAGGGTCAGGCCAACCCAAACCAAAAACCAAACTTTAGATCTCTTACTGAAAAACTGACGCTGAGGGGAGGGGTGAGGAGAGGAGGGTGGACAGCAACGTGTCGTGGAGCTCCTACGGTGGAGGGCCACCTCACGGGCCAGCAGTATTGAGAGCAGCGCAGGACAGAGGAAAGACAACTTAAAAAGTCCAAGTAGTGAGGGAGACCATGTCGCGCCTCTGGACATGCAGTGCCTATTTCCCAGGTTGTCTCACATAGTTACTGGGAATCAGGTTCAGGGAAGGTGGAGGAGTCCATGGAAGAATGTGTGGAGGAATGTCTGTGGTGGGGATGTGGATTGGGGGTGCATATTGTCTGGCACAGCTAGCGGGGAGTGGATAGGGGCTGTTGCCTGGGGGGCTCATTGTTCCTGCTGATCAAAACATCCTGTCTCTAGTCCCTGTTCACACTGGACTTCCTGTCAAGGTGTCTGGCTGGTTATGCTAATCTGGCCGTAATGTCTACCCGCTCTTTTCAGCAGCTACTGGTTTTCCAGTATGTTCCTCACACCAAGACTTTTGTCCTGGTGAGAAGCCCCTGCCTGACTCTACAGTTTAGCTTGACCAGCAAGAACTCTGGGCACCAGGACAACCCCAAGAACAAGGCAGGCTGGGAATCCACAGTAGAGGACTATGGGTTCGTTGTGGTGAGAGTGGTGTGATGACACACATCTGAAGAAATGTGATTTACACCTCTTAATCATATGCAGTGTTGCAAACCAGTGCTACCTCAATATAATGAATAAATATACAAAACACAAAAATCGTTAATCTACTTGGCAAAAAATAAAAATAAAGAAAAGCTATCTGATTATTTCTCCCAAGACATGAATCAATCAGATGCCAGCAACGGCAAGATGGAAAACGAGTTTCAAGTAATGAAGTTTTGAGACAGAGCAGTTAGTTCTCACATCTCATTTCAAGTTTATGAAGACAACTTTTGATCCTTTTTAAACACTGAAAAACAAACAGAATTTAAAAAAGCAATAAAAGCTATCATCCTTCAAGCCATCAGATTTAACTTTTTATAAAGAAGGAAAAAGCTCAGATCATTCTAATTCCTAATTAACCTTTAAAATATATACGCCTAGGGGCCTCCCTGTTCACACAAGGGATTAAATCTCAGCACTATCAAGCTATCGGCAGCCACCACAGCAGAAGTTCAATCCCTGGCAAGAGAGCTAAATCACAGGGCGGACAGACCTCTCCTGTCTCCCGACTGCTTCCCTCAGCAGTGGATTTCAGTAGATCTGTCTGTTCTGCTCCTCACTCTGTCTCTGAGTCCTCTCACCCCCACACCTCTGGCCTGTACCCCAGTTCTTGTATGCATTAATAAATAAAAATAAATCCTTAAAAAAAATATATATATATATGCATATTTAAGATCTTAAGAATTACTATAAATCTCTGACTGGACTTCCTGTCAAGGTGTCTGGCTGGTTATGCTAATCTGGCCATAATGTCCGCCTCCTCTTTTCAGCAGCTACTGGTTTTCCAGTATATTCTTCATACCAAGACTTCTATCCTGGTGAGAGGTCCCTGCCTGTTGAGAGGGGCCGCTGCAGGGAGTCACCCCTGCTACAGCAGGTGAAATCTCAGAGAAACAGACACAGGGAGAAGTAATTTTATGAATAAACATGGACATTTAAATAAAGTGCATCTCCACACCCTGGAAACCCCTCAAGTCATCAGCTTTCACATCTTGCCAACAGGAGAGTTTGTGGCCACGACTGGGGTCACTGAATCATCCCAAAGTGAAAAACACCCAGTCAGTGGGGCCTGCCAGTCACTAGGAGGCCCTCCCACGTTCGCTGGGCTGTGCTCTGGAAAGCCTGACTTTCTAGCAAGGCCAGCTGGTGAGGTCCCTGGTGTTCAGCACACTGCGTCCTCCTGGGAGGCAGCACACTGAACAGTCACCTGGACAAGCATCTGTTACTGCGCCTTCCTGCCCTGCTGGGCACTTGCCCATGAAATGCACATCACTTTATTCCCACAGGAGGGCACTGTGCTGGGGACAGAGCAGGAAGCCCATCGGCATGTGTTGGATGGACCCACCACTGAATGACCCAACGGCGCTAAGAGTGCAGAGTTTCCGCGTCCCTCCACAGGGCTGTGAGGCCAGAGGGTCCACTGCAGGTCTGTGATGGGCAGCCTGGGGCACACTTTCCCCGGGACTGTCTCCTCATCTCCAGGACACAGGACAAGCGGACGCCAGGCAGAGGCTTCATCTCTCAAGTTGCAAACCTGACAAGGAAGGGACGTCACACCACGGCCCTGGGCTCAGCTCCCTCTGCAGGGCTCACCCACATTTATCACCTTAAATCACGAATCTGCTCTGTCATTTCCTTCGCTTTCCTCCCAGGAACCAGGCTTGACTGTCAGGTGAAAGCAAGAAATAATGCTTGGGGTCCCGGGTCCTCGCTTCTATCAGAAACTTTAACTTTATGTTAATTATCAATTATGTTGTCATTATCAACTCAAGAGAGAAGGGGCAACTCTATGCCCTTTTTGTGCACGTGAGCTCAGGGACAGCGAGAAGGGACAAGCGTCTACCTTCCTGGGTTTCACCTGTCACCCCACAGCCACTGCAGAGTCAACTCTGATCTCATGGACTTTAGGCTTCATCTTAGTGTCAACATGTGTCAACACAACAGCAGACCCAAGTCCAGAAGCAACTTGGTAAGGCATACGGTGCACAATCCAAATTGCCAATACAAATTTGATTCTCCTTAAAATAAATTCCAAAACATTTATAAAAATGAAGGAACCATTTATTTAGAAAAATAGAAAGACCTGACGTTGGCTTCATGCATTTTGAGCTTTGCCCTCTTTCTACTCCAAGGCGGTGCCAATGCCCAGGTCAGTTACCTGGAAAGCTCTTTCTTTGGGGGAGGGGAATGAGGTTCACTTTCTTGTGCTCCCAGGGAGTCAGTGTGGTGAGGACAGAAGATGGACACTTATTCCAGAGGTCAGTTTGCACTAAAACTATAAAAAGCCTTTGGGGAAGGGTCACGTGTGATGGAGACAGTGCGTCAGTGCACCTTTGGAGAAACTGATGCGCTCCCAGGGGGGCATTATTAAGTCCACAGTTAGCAGTGATTTCACTCAGTTTTACTGCTATGGATCCCCCAAAAGGGAGAGGGAACAATGACCCTGATGGCTCATTCTTCGGAGAAATGCTCTCTTTGACCTATTCTCATCTCTCCCCTAGATGACAGCTCTGCTCAGTTCTGATATTTGGTGCATTTCTTTATTCCCAAGTACCTAGCAATGACTAATAACTCTGCCTTAGTTTAAAATCTGGAGTTTCACTCAACTTCAAATCTCTGATGACAGAGCTTAGAGTCAAGTATTGTGAATCTTTCACTTCGCCTTCCGTTTCTCTGATTGCATACCACCAAACACCTTCAACGTTCTGTGAGAGGTAATAACAATTTTCTTGAGAACCAAGTGATTCTGTGTGTGGATTACAAGTCAAGCTTGTGCAATACACAGTTCAGAGGATGCTGGGATTCCCATTATTGGCACTGCTTACTAGCTCATTCCTGTGCTGGTATTTGCTGTGTGGCATTTCACGCACGTAACCTCATGTAGTTTTGTGACTACCTGAACCAGGTGCAAACAGCCTTAGCATAAAGAGCCACTGTTTCACTCTCCTTGCCTGGGTGGCTGTGGTTAGGGAGAGATGCATGGACCCCAGACAAAGGTGTGGCGCAGCACAGTTGCTAGTCAGGACACAGGCATCCTCGCAGGGCTAGACGGGGGGAAGCCGGTGCCCAGCTAGGCCAAGTGAGTGAGGGCCACGTCCAGGAGACTCAGAATTTATAGACAAAGACAAATGCTTGAGAGGAAGCTATGCAAGGTTGCCATGGCTGGTGATGATGACAAAAATGAGAATTCTGCCAGTGGGAGGGGCACCTGGTTACCTGACATGTCAGGTGGGCAAACAGGAGGGGCGGAGTTGATTGAACACCACTCAGAGCCCATCCCTCCCTGAGTTTCAGGAAAAAGTCCCGGGGCTGGACCATGTCTCTGAGCTCCCTCAGCCTCGGGCCTGGCCTTACAGGCTGACTCTACAAACCACGCTTCACACATCATCAAAGAAGGAATGAGTGCTCTGGGGACCAAGGCCTTTTCTTTTTATCTGTTGGCTTTTGATGGAAGAAGTTATTTTTTCCTGAAATTTTCCATTCCTCACTTGGTTTTCATATACCTGACTGGCCAGAGCTGTATCACTTCGTCACCCAAACTTCCATATGCTACCAAAGTAAGCAAGATGCTGTTGACTGGTTTACAGCTCAGCCTCTGAGGATGGGACTGTTCTAGGTGGGAAATAATGGTCTGGATTCTCTTGCTAAGGAAGAAGACAGGTAAGTAAAGGCTCACTTGGCAGAGGTGTGCCTGGCCATGTTAATGGTGGTATCACCATTTCAAAGGAAAACAAGTTTGAAACACTTATAAGAACCCAAGAGAGATGGGGAGAATGCATGAATCACCCAAGTTTTTATGTCAGTCTTATATGATTTTTGCTCCCCAGAAACCACTTTGGTGTGAGGAGTTCGGTCCAAATCCAATATTGATGGGTCATCGAGTGGAGAACAACTATTAAAAACTGGAAGTGTGAAGACCACCTGGCCTGAGGTGTGGCCACTGTAAAGAGGATGGGGCAGCCTTGCCACTGGAAACGATGTGAGAACACAGAGAGTAAGAAACAAGTGGGCTCTCTGGCACAAAGCAGAGATTCATGTCCAGCTTGCAGGTAGAACCCATAATTCCACCTGATTTGTAGCTAGAGAAAGAATAAGGCTAAAGGATGAAAGAAAACTAGCGCCTACCTACACCTGTTCTCATAATCACTCATACAGACCAATCACACAGGCAGACTCTTGCTAATGTCCTCCGCACACTCTTGTGAGGACAGTGGGTGACACCCACATACATGGAAATCCCGAGTTACTAAGTCCTGTGCACCTCCAGGGTAATAACTAAGAGGCCCTTCCGTAGGCACCACCATCTCTCAGGCAGGATTCAATTAGAGAAAGTGTCACTGGTCCTTCCACAAGTCTCTGTGACAAAGGTCTTCAGGGCAGCGTGCCCAGCGTGATGAGTGGGGTTAGGCTCACGTGGCTCGGCAGGGCCTCCATGATCTGTTGCCTGAACATCACAGGGGGTGGTGGAGGGAGCAGAGCTGAGCATCTGTGGATGAGACTCCTTCAGTCCTCTTCCGAGCTGTGAGGTGGGCACGGGGCAGCAGAAGAGGAAAAACAAATGCTAAAGCGTCTGGAAGGGATAAGTCTTAGTCAGAGGTGCAAAGCACTGTGTTCACACAGGGGCTCAGAGCTGATCTCACTGTTGTGAAATATTTGGATTCACATTAGGCAGAAAGGCGGACTTGAGTCAGAGGCATCGTACTGGTTTCTCTGCTTGTCCTTCCCCTGCCCCCACGCCTACTCAGAAGGGAAGTTACCCAGCCCACCTCTGTGTGCATCTGCGGCAGCAGGGACCTGGAATCTGTGGGCTGCAACTTGGGTAAGTGTGTGTGTGTGTGTGTGTGTGTGTGCGTGCACGCGTGTGTGTGTGTGACAGAGAGAGAGAGCGAAATCCCTCCTATAAATTCCACAGGTATTTTCAGAATGGAGCAGGAAGGTGGGTTCCCTTCCCCGCATGATGCTGAAAACACCTATTTGCTCTAGAATTTATCATTCTTAACATTCCCACCCTATATCTTGCAACTTCTGCTACCACAGCACCTGCCACGGGATCATCTTCCAATTACCATGATTGCATCTTTTTTTTCACATGTAATTAGCTTCAGGTTGACTGCGTCCTGTGGAGATGGGGGAAGAGAATGTCATCAATGATGGTGCCGCTAGCTGGATTTTAACAAGGCTGCCCCAGTAAAGATTTTGAGACGGAGCTGCTCACCCTTCCATAATTCATGGCTCCCCGATGCAGGTGAGTCTTGGCTGAGGTTGGGCATGTTGGTCGCCTTCTTGACCTTGTCCTTCAGATGCCAGCTGCAAGGACGAGGCATCACAAATGGTCAAGAATGGGATGTCAGTGCTCCTGGAGTCTGGTCTCTATTTTTCCAGAAGAAAATGATGCTCAGAGAGGGAAAGTAATTTAGCAACAATCACATTGCCAATGACTGGAATTATGTGATTTGACGAGGCCCTTCAGGGTCCTTTCGCCAAAGCCATTCTGCTCAGTCCCTCTGTATATTACATCTCAAAAACCAGAAAAACCTGTGTCATTCATGAATTGCTTTGGTGGCAAAAATTGAAAGTAGCCCCAAATATGTATATTTCTCCTTAAAAATGTTGGTAGGTAAGTAGCCTGGAGCCGGAGAGACAGTCGTATGAGCACCAGAGACCTGGGCTCACTTATTCTCTGCTCCACCATCCCAGCACATCTCCTCCATCCTCAGTGTCACTTCTAGCCCCACGGGCCGCCTAAACTCCAGCCATCATGGATTCCGTCCAGGTAGCAAGATGGGAGATGTGGGAAGAGACAAAGGGAGACTTTTTCAGTTGGATGAACTACTCAGGTCCCTTCCCAGCTTCATGTTTCTACCTACATGTCACTGTCCCAAATAGACACACCCAGTTGCAGAAAAAAATTTGAAAAATTCAGTCTTTCAACTATAGATGTTATTTCCCCAAATACAACTGAGGTCCACTACTAAGGAAGAAGAAGAAGAAGGACTTGCCTGCCAGAATCTTGAAGGATGTATAATTTGGCCATGTTCAGTGCTAGGTGAGGGAACCAGTAAACACAGTTGATGATTTTTACCTGCTTAAATCACTTTTTTTTTTTTAAACTTTTATTTTTTTTTTTTATAGAGGCATGTTTTTTTTTATTTATTTATTTGATTGTTCGTTTGTTTCGTTTATACATGCACTGGGTACAGTCAGAAGCGCGGGAGGGTGAGAGAATTCACCAGAGCCAGAGCGGGGAGCAGAGCAGGCAGAAGGACCGAAGTACACTGCTGAGGGGAGCAGCGGGTGGCAGGAGAGGTCTGCGCACCATGTGGGACCCTCCTCTGGTGGCCGGGGAGCAGCCGGGAATCGAACTGGCGTTGCAGAGGCTGCGGGCAGCTTCACAACCCAGCGCTCAACCTCTGCGCCACCGGGGAGGCCCGCAGCCTCTGCAGCGCTGGTTTGATCCCAGGCTGCTCCCCGGCCACCAGACCTGGTGCCGCCCGCTGCTCCCCTCAGCAGTGTACTTCGTCAGTCTGCCTGTTCTGTTCCCCACTCTGGCTCTGGTGGATTCTCTCACCCTCCCGCGCTTCTGACTGTACTCAGTGCTTGTATAAATAAATAAATACATCTAAAAAAAAAAACACAACTGCACAGAAGGCAAAGAAGAAAAGCCATCAGTCAGTAATTCCCTAGATGTTACTGACAGCATGTTGATCATAGGTGATAAATGACATTAGGATCCCACACTTCCACTGGGATTATCCAATGGAGATCCCCAGACAGGACTCAAGAGAATATTCCATGCACTGATTCAGTATTCTTCTAAATGAAAGCCTTCATAACTTCCTAATTTTTCTGTTACAAACATCCTTCAAAGTTCACCAAGCGTGGTCAACATTCTACTACTGGAGAGTCTTTTTAAATAGTTGTAATATGGAGAGATTTAAGATCTATTGTTCTTCCTCCCAACATCAGCTTAAAGACAACTTTGTGATCATGTAGTCAGGTTACTGGGGCTCTTTTGGCCATAATGGGCTGGAAAGAGAGCTCCCCTAATTCTAGAATTTTCTGCTACCAAGAGCAGGAAAACACCTACGGCCATCATACTCTCCCCCAGTGACGAATGCACGAGGCTCCCCATCATCACGATCAGCCGGTGCATCCCACAGCCCTGAGTGTGGGTGTCAGCTTTCCCATTTCCAGCCATCAGTGTCAAGTCATGTCCACATTCGTATATAGAAAATAAAATAAAAAGAATGAAAAGGGTGTTTCCAACTAAAACATCAAAGGAATTAAGAATTCATTTCTTAGCATGAACTGATAAAACTGAAAAAAATCAAAATTAAATTTTGATTAGACTCAAGAAGACAACCACTTTGAATATTTTTTTAAGTTGAAAAATTACTGAGTAAAGAACATCTTCTAATTTCTCTCCAATAGTTGCCATTTCATTTTACATCCACCAGATTTTCTTAAGCAAAGGACCCCATATATATATTTAATTTTGAGCTCTTCAAATCTTCCCTGTGCCAGCTCTCACCTTTCTTTTCTAAACTCACATTGTGTGTGCTTCCTACTTGAAAAGAACCCTATCTGCCCAGACTGGCCCTATTACACCTCAGAGAAGAAGGTTCACTTTCATCCTGACCCTAATTTATCCCTGTAGTGAAATCAATACACACGTCGAGGACGACTGGCTTCATTTCTAACAGACAATGAGCCTAAAACTTCCCAAGTCTGGAAACTGGCCCTTGAGGCGAGGCAAGCAATATCGGAAACACCACAAATGTGAGAAAACCCCAAGCTAGTTTCTCCCAGATGTTGAAGTAAAAATACGGATCCCATTTGCGTGTGTACCGTAAATCACTTTTACTACTATTATACTCTATATATTATTACTCGTGATCATTATCGCTACTATTACAAGTAACTTAAAAAATACATCTTAGGGCCTCCCCGGTGGCACAGTGGTTGAGCGCTAGGCTGTGAAGCTGCCCGCAGCCTCTGCAGCGCCGGTTCGATCCCCGGCCACCAGAGAGGGTCCCACATGGCACACAGACCTCTCCGGCTGCGCCCGCTGCTCCCCTCAGCAGTGTCCTTCGGTCCTTCTGCCTGCTCTGCTCCCCGCTCTGGCTCTGGTGGATTCTCTCACCCTCCCGTGCTTCTGACTGTACCCAACACTTGTATAAATAAATAAAATCTTAAAAAAAAAAAAAAAAAAGTCTATGACCTTTAAAAAAAAAAATACATCTTAGTGTGAAGAAAATGAAAACTGAAAGCCTCCACACCTCCTCAAGCACCCTCAAGAGGAGCGCGTCCACAGCGGCGACCCCCGAGCAGGCGGCGGCCATCTTGGATTTCACGGGTGTGGTGATAAGGAAAACAGATGCTGAAATGTTCGCTCTAACTGGGCTGAGAAGAGGCTGTGATCCATTTGCTTTGTGGTGGTGATTGTCTGGTCTGGTGGGACCGGTTCTGCTCCCTGAACCCCTCACTGGCGCCATCCTCTAGAAGATGTGAGGGGCACACGTAAAGAATGAACTTTATTCCACATCTTAGAGACTGGGGTACCGCCTGCGCCCAACATCTCAGAGAGAAGATGTCCAAATACATTTTAACGAACTAGAATTTCACTCTCCCTGACGAAAATAGATAGAGACAAAGTGGTGTGTTGAGAGGCTGAGGTTACTGAGAGGAAAGTGAAGAGAGTAACAGGGATAAAGACACAGAGACAGAGGGGAGAGAGACCGGGGAGAATGTTTTCTTGGACACAACACGCCTTTTATCTTGGGGCATTTGATTTTTGTGAATTAGGACCCTTTTAAGTTCTCCAGGATGTAAAAATTTATCAGTCATTCCCGCCCCCCAGCCCTGGAAACACGAAACTGAGGAGGGTGAGCCCAGGCGTCTCCAGGCCTCATGGCTCCTCCACCAACAGCCAGTCTCCTCACAGCCGGCTCCTCAGTCCATCCCGGCGGGTTCCCAGGACCCCAGAGGGCAAGCTGGGCTGCCCAGTGGGCAGCGGTTAAAGCCAGTGGGTGGTTTTCCATGCCTCCCTCCATGTCTGAGGGCCACGCATCTGAAGGCACAAGCGGGACCTCGGGGGCAGTGAGGGGAGAGAGAGCTCTCTCAGGCAGGGGGTTTCTGATCTAGAAGCACCAGCCCCCCTCTCATTCAGGGAGACAAATCATGGGGTCCACCAGCAGTCCAGTCCACAAAGGCTCCGGCAACACAGACCACTCCAGTGACCGACCCAAGGGGCACAGCTCACACCTCTGAGCTTTTTCTAGGGTGACTTTCCAGAGCCCTCAGGCTACCCCAACCTTGTTTTGAAGTAAAAGAGATTGTTTTCTGTTCTAATTCCTGACATTGCCTGGAACAGATTGTCCCTAAGGCAACCACCTGAGGGGAAAGAGACAACTCAGTTGGCAGTTTTCGTGGATAAATCCCATCTGTGTCCACACACACAAGGCAGACCTCTCGCTCTGCAAAGAGAGACTTCGGGGATGCAGTGGTGAGCTGGCCCCTGGCGGAGAAGAAAGCCATCAGGAAGATGACAACTGCTACAGAAAACACGGGCCAAAGCAGAACCCGCTCTGACAGTAAGTCTCGGCGCCACCGACAAGTCTGATGTGGGAAGGAGTGACGGGCCCCAGCCAGTGCGCAAAGCGTCCCTCAGAAGGCCCACTGAGGTTGTCCTGTCAGCGTACTGAAGGGAATCGACTGGCTCTCAGAGAGAAATGAGGGCAGTGTTCAAAATGCAGAGCGTATGCCAACATGGTTGTGGTGGGCGTTTTTACACAGCCAGCCTGGGCATAGACGGACTGGAAGGGGCTAAGGAGACTTGTAACCTTCCTGATCTTTAGCCGTTTGGATGCAAATGCTACAAGTGTGTTGGTCAAAGAGGTTTGTTGCTGTTTTTTCTAAATTGCACATGAATTTTCCCACAATAACAATATCCTAGGCATTTCTGGATTTCTCCATGAGAAATCCAGAGAGAGAGACACAAGATGCGGCAGCAGCCACGAGATTCCAACAAAATGAAATATTAGAAATAATAAAGGGCTTCCCTGGTAGCACAGCAGTTGAGCACTGGGTTGCAAAGCTGCCTGCAAGCCTCTGCAGTGCCGGTTCGACCCCCGGCTGGCGAGGGTCCCACATGGCACGCAGACCTCTCCTGCCGCCCGCTGCTCCCCTCAGCAGTGTACTTCGTCAGTCTGCCTCTTCTGTTCCTTGCTCTGGATCTGGTGGATTCTCTCACCCTCCTGCACTTCTGACTGTACCCAGTGCTTGTATAAATAAATAAATAAATCTTTAGGGAAAAAAAAAAAGAAATAATAAACAATGCTAATGGCCAGCGGCACCGCACAGCTCAGCTCAGGCCATCATCACGCAGTGTGTGGGACGGTACATCAAAACTCCCTTGAAATGCGCTTCTCCTCTGTGCCCACCTTCTTTTTCTTCACCAAAGTTGCTCATTTTTGAGGGCAAGAGTCTGAGACAGGAGTGGGTTTATTTAGATACAACAGAACCAGGTCCCTGTTCTTAAGGAAGTCAGGAAAGCTCAATTCTTTTTGCATCTACCCTAAAAAGCAGTCACTATTCTGATGAATGATTAAGTCATTTTAGTCAAAATTCGCCAGTTTTACTTGGCTCCAAATTTTGTTGCCGCCCCTGCAAGTCACGATTTTTCCATATAATTTTGGATTATCTATAATCTTTGCAGGAAAAAGTCCTTGCCCATCCCCCTCAACCTTTCCCTCCCCCCCCCCCCACACACACGCTCCTTCAAATCTCAACATTCTGCTGCTGACAACTCCCTGACATCAGGATGTTTCTCCCATCACAAAGGGGCTGGGACAAGGGTCCCAGCACTGACCACTGCTGGTGGTCAGTGTTCCTAACTTCTGATGCGATGGTACCTTGTGCTTCAACGATACTGACCAAACACCACAGAAACCACAGCAGCGCCAGCACAGGGGGCCGTGCACGAGGCGTGGAGAACGAGAGCAGGAAACACAGACTTGCTGGATTAGAACAGAACAGGCCATCGGTGGAGCGAAGGGCAGGGCGCTGGGAATCGGATTAGGTCCAGGACAGAAGCCATTTCGAAAGGACAAAGAAAATACTCAAAATAGAACTGAGCAAACCAGAGACCCCAACCTCAGGACCAAGATCAGCAGACAAGGTTTAAGCATCCAGGAATGAGTTCATCAATAAGCCACGGAGGCTTGAACACACAAACATTTCAGATCGGTCTTTAGAAGTGCAGGCAGTTCAGGAAGGCTGACCTGTGGGTCCACCAGCCTCCACCACTCCCCCAAGGCTAGCGGTAGAATTCCTGAGAAGCTCTGCTGGGTGGACAGTGAGTGAGTCAGAAAGGTAACCCCTGCTGGGGTCTATGCTGGAGCCTGGACGGCCATTGAGAGCGGGCGCGCACCATTCCCACACACCAACTGGCCTCAGCCGTCGGTCAGCCTCATCAAAGAGCTAAGAAGACAGAAGAATTAGTTTAAAAATTCTCGGCAAACATTATTGTGATGAAAAATAGACAGAGGGGAAAAGAATCCCAAGCTGGACAAACCAGTTGCTTGAATGGTGCGTCCCCCCTGGCACATTCTGTGTCCCCCCTGGCACATTCTGCATCCCCCCCTGGCACATTCTGCTTCCCCCCTGGCATGATCCTGAGGATCGTGATGGACTCAGCCCTTCCTGAGCAACAGTGCAAGTGTCTCAGTGGGGAAAAAGGTGCCCAGCCCCCCAAGCTCCCACACCCTGGTTTTATAGGTGCCAGGCTGTTCCCACTGCTGCCCTTGAAGGCTCACAGACGCCCCTCTCGCAGGAAAACCCTGCCTGGGAGTTTATCAGCTGCTCTCGCTGTTTAGTGTATCTTGTGACTATTGTATTTGACAAGGAACCTCACCCCATGGCAGGGACCCGCCCCAACAGACGTTTTCTAAAGAACTCATGCTCGATGTAGAAATGTTCTCTTTTTTAACAACTGAAAATGAGGGCAGGGAAGTACCTCGCTCGCAAGGATTTGCAAAGGAGATTAACGTCAGGTCATCACTGCGTGGCGACGGCAGTCATGTTTTTCAAAGCATTTTGCCACCGTTTTCTGTAAAAGTCATCTTGGCGAAGTACCCAGTTTTACAAAATTAGTTGATGCAGTTTGAAGAGCCAACTGCATTAAACCATAGATAATAATATTTTGATTAATTCTTAATCTGTGTCTTCACAGTCATTTTGTCTTTCAGAATAAGGATCTCCTTTTTTGTTAATCTGTGTTTTGACAACTCATAACTGTATTATATACAGTGTTCAGCGCATCTGAAATCATCCCTTAGTCTTCAGATTTCATGTCACTCCTTCTTCATGGCGCTTTTCTCCTTTTGTTGTCTCAAAGGACCCTCTGTGGGAGCGGACTGGAGCGCGTGGAGGCTAACACTGCAGAAACGCCTGCCCGGATGTGTGCAAAGGGACAGCCGGCGCCTTCCCGGCCAGGTACACCAGGGATGGCCTCGGTTGCCTGTGGCCCCTCACGCTGCCAGGTCTGGCCACCACGTGCCGGCAATGCCTTCAGCAGCGGCCATCACCCCCTGTCCATCACTGGTCTTTACAGCGTGGGGGCTCCAGAGATGCGTCAGCGTGTGCGTGGCCAGCCCGTGCCGCTCTCTCTGAGGGGGGATTCTTGCTCACTGGCGTCCGGGGAGACAGGAAAGCAGCAGGAGCAGCAGTAAGTGTGGATAACGCTGGAGCCGGGCCTCTCTTGACAGCATCTCCGGGAAGCCAGATCAGCACTTGAAGGAGAAACTTCCTACAGACTCAGCGTTTGTGGCCCGGCAAATAAAATGCCATCCCTACAATGCTGGCACCCTGTCCCTGCAGTGGGACGGCGCTGTGAGTCCATGTCGCGACTTTCTCCTACTAGTCCTGCTGCAGTCAGCTACACCTCAGCGTAGGCCCCAATCCCTCCTGCCACATGAGGGCACGGCGGGGAGACGGTGTCTGGGAGCAGGAGACAGCCCGTCTCACCACGTCTGCTGTGCCTTGAGCTTGAACTTCTCACCTTCCCGACCAGGAGAAGTAGTTGTTATTTACCAGCAACCTAATCTGCAGGATTGGTTCCAGCCCCCCAGTAGACAAAAGCAATATCTAAACACCCTGGAACAGGACAGAGGTTTGAGGAAGAAGAAATCATAACGTATCTACTAAGAAGTATCTACACATCCATCACCAGATCGACTCTGTGAGATGGTACCATGGGAGTATTTCTTAAGTGGAGGGATGGATGGCTAGATGCATGCACAGACCAAATCTCACAGAGCCCACAGCAATGATGGTGACACAGCCCTGCTCTCCATACGTGCAGCTGGAGCGCCTGGTCATTTAATCACATCCTGTTCATGGTCATGGAATGTGCCGTCAGGGACACTGAGCTCAGGGCCACGCCTACGTGAGAGGCAGATGCGAGTGACACTGGCGGCAGTGGAAGGACCTTACGGTGATATTCTTGCACCTGCTGTTTAACTCAATAGATATTTTTTAACACCCGTCTGTGTGAGGAACCAGGTAGGGCTTGTCCACGTGATGGCAAAGGGGCCTCCTATTTGGATCTGCAGAAAGATGGGAAGGGAGCCCCACTAAGAAAGTTGAGTGCTGGGACCCCAGAGCTGAGCATGGTGGCCGGGTAAGAGCCCTTCTGCTTGAGCTCTATTCTTCCACCTGTGCTAATGAATGAAAGCATTTCCCTAGAAAGTTATAGAGGGACCTTTACTGTGGCTTATGCATCAAGCTGGCGTTAGACACAGAGAATGTTGCACGAGCTTTATAAGGTCATGGAAAAAAAGACTTAATCCAAGCAGTTTGTGGATTTGAGACTTGAGTTGGTTTTGGAAATGGAAACTCGCCTTTGGCCCACACATGATGAAAGTGTTTGCCTATTGAACGCGAAATACTATCTTCGTGCAAATTATTTATACATATGCAGCAGAATCCTGGCATCATCTCGATGCATTTGCTCAGTCACTTATTACCTAGATCTTCCCAAGTTCTCACAAAACTACACACGTCTGATAGAAATTGCTTCGTGTGGAAGGGCATCAATCACTCCCACGGCAAGAGGAATACGCTGTGCAACCAGTGGAAACATTAAAAGGATATTGACTACGACTGTGATAGAGAACGATACCTTGAGTCCTCCCAGCTTTTTATTCCCCAAACAGGTAACGTAAATTCAGGTGGCGCCTGATGCCTCACACTGTGGACTGTGGATTTAGGAGCTGAGAGAGGGAGAGCTTTGGTCTCCTACACAAAGTCGTGTTTTTCCAAACTTGACGCACAGGTTCTGCCTCTGCGCTACATGGATATGGCAGTGCTGTGTCCACCAGCGAGTCCGCCCTTCTGGCCTCCCTCCTCCCTCTTTGCTTCTAGTGTCCCTCGAGTGTTGGTTACTCCTTCTCTCTGAGTGTCCTCCAGAGTCAAGTGTCTCAAAGGCCTTCGGTGTTCCTAGGCATCATGAGATTCTTCTCGTGTTTCCTGATCTGTCTCCTGAGATTTATTTGCAAGGGTGTGGGAAAAAAGTCCTCATTTGCCACCTTAATGAAAGACGCTTCTCTCTAGAAAACCTTACAAGGAAAAACCACATTAAATGAAAGCAGAACCAGGGTCATGTAAACACATTTTACAATGGGAGGAAATGAACTATGTAAATCAGATGCACCCGTAAATTTGAAATGGGCGCTAAAGTCAAGCTTCCAAGATAGTTGACCTGATTTTGCTCTACCTGGAATAAATGTCATCTGAATTCACCTAGAAAATAACAAAAATGTGTCAGTCAGCGTATAGATCCTAATTCCGGACTCTAATTAGAGCAGAGGAAGGGGTTCCGGAAGCGATGAGGGCAGCACTTCGGCGCGCAGGATTTGGCACAACGGTAAGGGCCCCAAGGAAACATCCTGCCCCAGATCACAGATAGTGGGGAACATCCCTGCTCTCCCCCAGGAATACTCACTTGGTAGCTCAAATATCTAATAATGGTGAAAACTGCAAAGTGCGTATGTGAGGGTTGACTGGCATTGGGCGCCTTTGGGGCACTTGATGAGGTTTCCAAGGAATCAGGTGCACCAGCGTGCACCCTCGGGAAGGGTGGGGCTGCCGCCACCAGCCAGGGGAGCCTGCTGACACCAGCAGGGACTCAGCTGCGAGGAGACACGGTCCCCAAGTCATCGTGTGGAGACTTTCAAGTGACCATTTTTAAGGGTTTTAAGTAAAAACCCTCCCCTGAAAATGAAATGGGAAAATGATGGTGGGGCTTTGTAAGACACGGTGGGAGGCGGGGGTGAGAAGGCCAGCACAGCAGCGTGCGAGGAAGAGCCGGTGTCCCCGTCCCACGCGCGCCCATCCAGGGACGTCAGAAGACGCAGGACAGAGGACAGAGCTCATGGGCTCAAGTCGGAATTCAGTGGGAAGGGTTCTCGCTAGGTTTGAAAGTCAAGAAATTAGAAAGTTCCTGTTAATCTAAAGGAGAAGGAATAAAGGGTTAATCATTATTTAGCGGGAAACCAAGATATAGTTGTGACTGTTTCTCATCCAAGATACAGAGACGTCGTCCTGGGGGGTGGGCGGAGGCCCTGGCGGGTGGAGGGCGCTGGACTTGGGGGCAGCCATATTGATACTCTCATAATAATAAAGAAAAAACCCTGAGTTTTTATTTTCAGGGTCTTAGGGCCTCACATGACAAAGACTACCTCAAGGAAGTTTCCTGAAGTCCTGGCTTATTGTCTTCAGAGAGGGCAGTGCAGAAACCACACCAAAAACCAGGATGGTCTGCTCACCATTTTGAAAGATGAAACCTTGGGTTTATTAGGTTTTTTTTTTTTTTTTTTTTTGAGGATTTTTGCAACTATTTTTACAGTTCATTTGGGATCTCAGTTTATACATCTTTTGTGCTGTCTTTGGTTTGGGAATCAGGTGAACGTTGGCTTCATGGAATGTGCTGGGAGATTTCACCCTCTGCAGTTTTCTGGAAGAGTCTGAAATAGTGTCTTTTATGACAAAGAGGGTGGGTTTCCAGGTGATGAAGGGAAATAAGTCAGAAAGACAGATCTCAAATGGTTTTACTCATGTGTGGAAGAAAAATGCCACCCCCCAAATAAATATATAGGCCAAATGCAGCAGGAATAGATCTTGGACTTAGTAAAGAACTTAAGGTCACTGGAGGAACAGAGGTGGGTGCGGGTGGGGTGGTCCCCTATGGTTGGGTGGAAGGTGACTGGAACCTGCCCACACCTGGAGGGGCAAATGTGTCACCCAAAATTAAAAAAACTATGGGGCCTCCCCTGGTGGCGCAGCGGTTGAGAGCTGGGCTGCAAAGCTACCACAGCCTCTGCAGCGCCAGTTTGATCCCCGGCTGTCAGCAAGGGTCCCACATGGCGCGCAGACCTCTCCTGCTGCCCGCTGCTCCCCTCAGCAGTGTGTTTCATCAGTCTGCCTGTTCTGTTCCCCACTCTGGTGAATTCTCTCACTCTCCCACACTTCTGACTGTACCCAGTGCTTGTATAAATAAATAAATATTTAAAAAAATTTAAAAACTATGTGCATGAAAAAGTGAAGGGAAAAAAAGAGAAATCAGCTTTTTCTTTATTCTCTTATTTTTTGACACCCTAATCAACCACATAGCACATGATGCTAGATCAAAAGAAACTACTGTTTCCTACACAATAGTTTCCATAGTTTATTTTTTTGGTGGGAGAACATTAGAGTAGACTCAATTATATCCCTGATGGTTTTTCCCTTATTCCCTAAGGGTTTTCATTCTTTATGGGTTTTATAGATAATTATGTATAAGGAAAATATTTTTTCCTCTTTGGAAGCCATTTTTCTTCTATTTTTTAAATTTATGGTGGTCATTAAGTTTCCTTCCTATACTTATTAATGGGTTTTACGAGGCCCAGGGTGACCTGGGGCTGGACTGAAGATGAATCAAAATGGTCCTATGTGCTCGCAGGTGGCACAAAACTAGGGCTCGAGCTTTACAGAAGAAAAGAAATTTCCATGAACCTGGCATTTAGAGAAGCTTCATTTACTCTTCACGACACTCAAGTAAGTGGTCACCACTGGTCAGTTTACAGCGACATCATTGAGGCCTGGAGTGACCAGGGATTTGCTCAACTCCACACAGAGACACAGGTGGAATTTAGGGATTTCTCACCTGAACAGTCTACCTCAAGGCAGATTTGGGGTTTTTCCACTCATCAGCTGCATCTCTCTGGGCCTCAGTTTCCCCATCTGCCTGTAGGTGGCCAACCAGACAACGCGGCAGTGCTCATAGGAGAATGGTGTCCCATTATAAAAGGTTCGCCACCATCACCACACACTTTAGGCATCACTGCAGGTAGCGCCCTCAGGCTGGCATACTGGGGGACGCTGACGCCAAGTCTAGAACTGGCCTTGCCATCATAACACCTTCAAATCCTTCCTCTACTTTCTCACATGCAAAGTCTGCAGGTTTATGACAGGAGCCTCGCATAACATTCCTCTGGAAGAGTCAACATGCTCAGAGCGGCTGTGATGAGACCATGGACAAAGAAGATCAAGCCCTGGCCCCAGGACTGCACCCCCACAAAGCAATGCCAGGAACTGACGTGCAAGAGCTAGAGAGTTCCAGGAGGTGGAGAGGTTTGTTGACATGAACTTCCTTTCCAACCCACACATTTGTTCAGAATGATTAGGGATTTCTCTGGAACAGGATGGATGCATGGCTTCTCCAGTGTGGATGACTCTGTCCTAGCAAATTCCTAAAGCAAAGACCAGTACTTGTCCTAGATTAGTTCTGGCCCAGGGGTGGAGGGTGACATGGGATTACCAGCCACTGACATTCTGCAGGCCCTAACATGAGTCAAAGGCACTTGGAAATATTCTTTAGCATCATCTACAAGCTCACTGGCAGCGTGATGGGCAAAAAAGGTCTTAGTTTGCGGAGGGTTAGTTTCTGTTCTGAGCCACAGGAGAAAGGGGAATCAGGAGAGAAGCTGGTATGCCCTGTGTGCCCCGGAGTCAGCGGGCACTGGGTCTCTTGCTGGCATAAGTTGTGGCAAACTTGCTTACAAAACCCCACCAGGCTGTGACCGCTAGTTATAAAGATATGGACATGGTCGGAGAGAGCCATTAAGCAATGTACACAAAAGAGCGTAGTCAGATGCAGAAACTTCCAAGACACTCCTGTTCTCAAGGCCGGGCTTCTTAGAACAGCTTCATGGGTAAAAATCACAGGTTTTGATGTCTCCAAGAGACTCGCTCATGTCACCTCCAAGCCATTTCCTAGCTACATCAACTTTAGATGGCACAGCCTCTCTGTAACTTGGACTCCAGATCCATCAGTGGGATGAGAAGATTCACTCGCAGAAGAGCAAAGACAAAGCAAGCAAATCACCATCATCAGTGCCTGGCACACATCAGGTACTCATCAAATGGTGGGTGCTATGACCTCACCCAACCTCCGTCTCAGAATCAGCCCCTTACAGAGAAGCAAAGGGAGCACCATGCTGCCACCAGGAGAGGGTAACACATGGCTGGGGCAGCGATGGGCTCCAACTGGGCCTGAGACCAGCAAAGGGAAGAAATCACCCAAGGTGGCAATTAGAAAGTGATCAAACCTGGCCCACGCTGGAGGCTGACTTCTCCCCTGACGCTTCCATCTTCCATTCACAATAGATTCTAATTTCTACTCACTCTCAGCTTCTAAAAGTGCAGGATTTAGGCACCGCCAGGCCTAAAAGTTTTGTGGTGATTCCAACAGAGTCCAGTGAGGTGGGCAAAAAAGCCAACTGATCCTTTTTATTGACACCAAAGCGACAGATTAATTAGCTTGATTTTGCCTAACTTGTGGCCTTATTAGAGGAAAGGCAAATTCGCTCTCCTGGCAGAAGATTGTATGTTTAGGTGTCCACATTCTAGTTTACATAGTTTAGTTTTCTATAGATTTCCTTTATGTAAAATACATCAGTGAATTTTATCAAAATTATATTAGTTTGTTTATATAAAATTATTTATCACTGCTTTTTCCTGGCCTTTAAGTCAAAATTCCTCCATTTATTAGAGACCACCAGATGAATTCTGTATACACCAGAGTTTAGGAACTCCTGCCACACCACACCAGAGGGTAGATTTTTAGTGGAATGCTGCTATTATTATTATTATTATTATTATTATTATTATTATCACCGACATGCTTTGAAGTGAAGGCCCAGTGTCAGCTTCCAGAATGGGCTGCCGTCTGTGATGACTGTGTTGCTCATTAAGCTGTTAAAATGCTGAGCTGGGAGGCTGAGTCACACTTCAAGAGAGTGTGTGATCGCAGCTGAGCAAGAGTGCCCACGCACTAGGAAATCTTTGACCTTCTGAAAGTCATTCCATAGTTCTAGGTTTTCCAACCCACGAAGCTGGACTCTGGCAGGCATGGGCTACGACACAGCCACTCAGCAGAGATTCTGTGATCAGCTGCCTAAGAAGTAATAGTGTTGTCGTAGCTCAACTCAGGGCCTCTGGAAGAAGACAGATGTGGGCTCCACATTCAACTCTGACTCTGAAGATCTATCAAATCTTGGGCAAGTTACTCAGTCTCCAAAATGAGGATAAGATAATTTATAGAGATGTTAGCATTAAACATGATACATGGAAGGCACGCATCAGAATACAAGATGATACCAAGTACTCTCGCGTCCATTGCTATTTTCCCTTCAGTCGTGTGCTTGGGTCAACAGTCTGTGGAGGACCCGAGACGGTTCAGTGGGGGCTCACCCGCTGGGGTGGGCAGAGAGTCTATATTTCATCGCACTTGCCACCATGCACTGTTAGAGGCTCCATTATTTAATATGCCAGTAAGAACAAAAAGTTAAAAACAATAAAAAAAAAACACGGCCATGGAACAACGATGCAAGGTCTTCTTATCGCTTAGGGTTGTTTTGCATATACAGAAAGAATTATTTTATTTTTATTGGAACAAACATTCTAATCTGTCCTCATTGTATTGTGCGTGCTCTACAGTGTCAAAAAACAAAGTGGCCCAAGTGGCCCAGAAACTTCCTCATATGGAATCCAGCTCTTCTCAACCACGGTCCTCCTGGGAACCATCAAGGTCCACTCCAGTATTTTCCACGGAATGTTTCTCCACCTTCATCTTGCAGGTGTGCACGCCAACCACTCTCTCCCCATCGGCGTGTCTCCTCTGCTGGGTCACAGGCCATTGGAGGTGAAAGGGCCTTGGTTCAAGGGCGTCAGGAAGTGGCCTCCCCAGTGTCTGCTGTGCCCTCGCTCTGCCTC